CCTAAGCCCGGGATCAAAGCACTTTGGTTCTTGCTTTCCCCCTCCACTTTCTTCGGAAGAAAGTGGAGGGGGAAAGCACTTTCCTTACAAGAAAGTGGAGGGGGAAAGCAGGAATCAAAGTGCTTGGATCCCGCCCCCTTGCTTCCATGTATAAGACAAACCTCCATCTTTAATCTAAATATTGTAGAGACAAGTATTGTCTTATACACGGAACAACACAGTAAATTCATTCTCTCTCACACACACACACTCACTTTCCCTTTCACGCACACACATATTGTATGACTAACAATGTTAGCTAAGAAAGACCAAGACCTCTGTAGGTCTTGCCAATATGGTGGGCATTTGGTGCCACTGCTTGTGGAAAAGGAGTGAAGAACCTAGAGCAAAACAGGGCTCAATATATATCAATGAAGCAGAAGTCCTTTTCAAAACACATCCCAGAATGTGGTGTTGGTGGCAAAACTGCAGCTTCTCTCCAGTGGAGGGCGCTGTAGGGCAAAATAGGTTCCTAATATAAAAAGACAAGTTCTCTCAAAAAAAGACATCTGGTAACACACACCTTGATTTTTTTTAGGGAAAGAGACATTGGAGGGACATTGTAAATGGTCATTTGTGATTGTGAAACTACAGTTCAATAAGATGACAATGAGAAAAGCTAACTGAACTCACCTGGAGAACATTTGGCCGATGAGGTTACCTACCCCACCACCTCTACAGCCTTAGGCAAGCTCCATGGCCTCATAGCGACAGGAGAAGGAGGAACTTATAATAAACCACTTTTGCGCACTTTATACTAGAAAATTCTAGGAGGGTTGTCTTAAGTCAGAAATCACTTAGTGCATAATAATTGGCATGGCTATTCAAATTAACAGTTCATAGCCACTTACCAGGTAGAACCTGACACTCCACACAAGTACATGACACAGTCCAAGAGCTTAGATTTCTTCAGCTCTGTTAGAGTGCCGTAAAGGGCGATCATGGCCCGCAGACCTCCTCCTGATCCCAAGACAGCTATGTTGGGGATTTTGTCCTAAGAGAAGAGAAAGAGGACATACCGAGAAATCTCTATTCTGAAGTGCATCATCATCTCAGTATTAACGATAAACATACAAAGGTGTTATGTTTTGGATGACAGAGTCATCCTTAGATGAAGAAGGCCAGGATAACATGACTCATCTGGAGCAATCAGCATCAGACAAGGGACATGAGACCCAGCTGGCAGCCCCTCCCCAGAGACTCTAAAGGCAAAGTGAGGCCCTTCCACAGAAGACCCCCTTTGGTCTAGATAAAGTGGAAACCACCAAAATAAGAAGTTCCCAAAGTGCCAGAGAATGACAAGGTATTTCAGGGACAAGCCTGGATCAAGCAGGCAAATAGCTATAGCTGTGGAACAGAATCACTTATGCTGCAGTTAGATAAAAACATAGTGGGAGCAGGTGAAAAACGCAAGCCCAGTTGTTTCCATTGCTTCTTGTTCCCTGTTCCTGCTGTTCCATACTCAGTGGGTGAAATCCTGTTGCTTAGCATGGTATGCCACAACTAGAGCAAGCCCAGTGATTGTTGTGGGTTTTTGAGGCCCAAAAACCCCACAACAATCATTAGATCCTGGCCATGAAAGCCTTCGTGAATATATCAAGCCCATTAAATCAATTTCAGCTTCTGGAGGAGTACACTCATCAAATCCCTCCCCCCTTATTCAATAGGTCTACTCTAGTTATTATTTATGACACAAAGCAACGGGATTTCAGCTGACTTCTTGCTGGATTAATCTTCCACTGACCTGATCCTGACTGTTCCCTTCTTAGATTGGCAGCCTGGTACAAGTGCGATAAATGTGATATTCTCTTGCCTGTACCCTGAACTCTTGTTATGCCTCTTCTGTGTAGTGATTCAGCCAGCCTTTGAGCTCCCCTTATCAAGCCTATTTCTCACCTTATCAAGTACTTGCAGCCTCAATCTAGGTCAAGAACAATTGGGTTCCAAATAAAATGTATATGAATTTCCTGTGTAGATGAGCTCACTAATATCTCTCAAGATGGGACACAGGCAACAGATATGGCAACACACACACATGGGAAAGTAACTGAGTGGTGGGACACAAGTTCAACTCCAGGCATCTCCAGATAGATATTGGGGAAAATTCTTGGCTGAATTGCTGAAGTCAGTGTACATAATATGTTCCAACAGTAGGAACACTTCTGTTACTATGAATATCTTTACAGGATAAATCACTTCCCAAAAAGAATTAAAGCAAGTTTATGTTATCATTTGTAGCAGAACCGAACAAAGGAACAAAGAAACTCATGCAAACGTTATGCATTGAAACATCTGCTAAAGCTTTGTTAATTGCTGTTTTTGTTGGTGGTGTGTTATGTTGTTATTGTTGTTGTTGGAAGTAATGCTCTAAATGGATAAATGAAATCTTACCAGACTGCATTCAATGCCCAACTTGGCAAGACCATTTTTCACCACTTCCTTTCGAGTGGCAATAGCTGATTGTTCACCCTTTGTGAGAGTTTTAGAGACCTCAACTTCAGATTTTGCCTGGAAATAAAACATCCAGCTTCAATAAAGGAAAAAAATCCATTCTCTTAGGGACACCGTGGAGAGCAGGGCATGTGACACAAAGCTGTGGCCAAATCACCACTTGGGGAAGTTGCTTCATTGGCACCTGTTTCCCAAGGATGTTTAGTAGCAACCTAATTGAATTACTTCACCTGTCTGGTAGTAACATGTAAGTCTCAGTCTTGCAAACCACTCCCCTCATTTCCACAATAAACCACAGTCTATTGTTCCACCTGAATTGAGAAAAACTTGGGTTGCATCAGCCATAGTCTCATTGTTTATATTTGACAGAGAACTAGAGCTTGTTCTGAAAGTGGGAAAGAATTAGAGAGAATATAGGATGTTCACCCATATAATTCCAGACCATGTCTTAGTATTATGACATGGCTATGTAGTCACTGGCTATGTAGTAAGAAATCTAGTAATAAGTTGCAACTGGGGTAAGTCCACTTAACCAATGAAATTTACATGGGAGATAACTCAACAAATCCCCACTGATTCAATGAGCCTATTCCAGTTGTGGCTTACTACCAGATTTCAGCCAATGTTTCCAGCTTTGGAGGTAAGAGGTGCCTTTCTCATTACCACTTCTTGGGCCAAATACACCACTCCTCCTTTACAAAAAAAAACAGTGCTCTGTTCAATTTGTAACTTCTGAAATACTCATGGGAACAAAACTCCATCACATGCGGAGAAGCCTCCAAAGAAATTCATGAAGCTTTGAGTGGAGGGAAGTTTCCAACAATATGAAAGAAAGGAAGGTGTGAGAAAATGAAGGTGCAAATGTAGGAAATAATCATAAACGTAAGTCAAGTAAACCAGTAGTAACCCATATCTCTCCTCACCAGGCAGCAAATTCTCCCTGAATATCTGTCTCTTCCCCCTCCCCATTTTTAGAGGTGGATAAATGAGCCAATGAAAGTTTGGGAAGGCAGCTTTCTGAATAGTGGTCTGAATTTGGGCTAAGTATTTGATGAAGAGGCCAGCAAGAGCCATAAGACCACAGGTAGTTGAAGCAAAGCTGTCAGTAATCAAGCTGTGCTGGGTCCCAGAAATCTGCCTTAATGAGTCCAGAAAAAGGGATGGTAATATGGTCCAGGAATATTTTTCAGTGGAACCTGTGTCCCCTGTCCCCTCAGAGCTTGCAGTGTTAATATTCACCTTATCAAATACCCAAACCCAATGTCACTTTATTAATGTTAACAATGATCCCATGGAAATCTCTCAAAAAGTAGGTGTGATAGCTGTTGAAGCTCTCTTTGAAAGGCTTTCTTCCCCCCAAGGAAGTTAACAGCATTGAGAGCTGCAACCTAGAACTAGAGGAATTTAGACCTTCAGTCTCTTGGGACTTTGCCAGAGGAAACAATGACTTTGCTCACCGTCAACTCCCTTGGGCGCTGCCTTGCCCTGTGGCAGGGCTAAGCCTTCTGGGTGTTTGAGGGCTCAGATTCCCTGCAGGCCTAGCCAACAGAGTGAATGGTGAGGGATCAAGGGAGCTGCAGCCAAAAACATCTCAACTTCCGTAGTTGGCTATCCCTACCCTAAAGTCTCCTCATAACATGGATACAGAATAGAAGCAGGCCAGGAATAGATCCAGCTTTAGTCACAATTCCATGTTGAGGAACAATTTTTATTGATCATTACTAAACTTGATTGACTGGAAGAGAATAACGTTACCTTCCGAGCTGCAAATAGGTCCATATCGTCTTCCTGTTTCTTCACAAACAGTTCAGTGAATTCACACTCAGAATAAATGAATTAGTAATCCAGAATTCTTGAGATACTGGGAATCGATTCTTTTCTTTAGCAGTGGATTTCCTGTGGTCTCGTTTACAGCTGGAAAATGAATACTAACTATAAGACAAGCAGATACATTCAATTAATTCCGCTCCTGACAGCACAGAATGCCGCAAGCAGGAAGGAACCACTGGATGTAAGACCTGCGGTTTGTTTCTGTTGTTTATAGCTTTTAAAGCTGGATGGCTCAATCCACTTTTCAAAAGCTTCCGATGGTGCAGAACTCCTAGGTGTCCTTGTGGTGCAACATTATAAGGTAAGACAAATCTTCTAAGATGAAATATAAGATGAATCCACATAAGTGGAGGAATGAATTGGAGCAAAGTTTAATATGCACAATTCTTATCCCAGACATTATCTCATTGTCGTTAAGATCCTGCCCTAGACTTTGTAAGACCATTAAACGTCTCAGTGCACATGTCTCTCAGTGAGACACATTTCTTGCATCAAACTGGTGGAGGTGGATTTAAGACCTACACAACAGACTGCAAGCTTAGGGAGATAAGAACATAAAACATCTTCTTTTAAACATAATGCACTGCATTGCAGAGATGTGGAAAAGTGGAAGAGAAATGGGAAAAGCAATTATAGGATAGTTAATACTGACTGATGGTATATAACATAAATATAAGAAAACATCATAAGGGTAATCTATCTTACCACTTTATACTGTTTTAATTGTCTTGAAATTTTTTAACTGCCTCCACTTATTTTAAATATTACGTGTATGTATTTTAATGGGTCAGAGACCGCAAATAAAGATTGTATTGTATTGATAGTTAATACTGGGATGAGATGAAGAATGTAACTAATCCATTCAGTGACCAGCCACAGTCATCTTCTGCAGCCCACACAAAATGGCGTTGCTAGCATAGCCTGGAGCAGTTAAAATCAGGAATCTTTCAGATAGGGTAGAGAACCAGCAGTGGGCAAGGTAAAGGTCCTAACCATTGTCAGTCACAAGATATTTCATAGACTAACTGCCACAGTATGTTGATCAGAATCCTGTTGGCACGGCTCTGCATTTGTAAGGTTGCTAATGTCATCAACTGCAACCTATAATCTCTAATGAAAATATTCTTATTTCCACCTCCCCTGCTTCCAGGTTCTGATGCTCCCTAGGGATCGCTTTTGACCTGGAAGTTGTGCGGGCCTTGGAACATGAGGGGGATTCTTTAATGTCTGGAAATTACCACTGCCACAGGACCAGCACAGACAGGATTCCAGTCATAGAGTTAGGATATCTGCTGTTGAGATAAGCCTGTACATGCATATATTTGTTCCAAGAAAGAATATGTTACTGTCTGATTTGCTTCAAATGCACCAACAAAATTTCTCCCCAAAATAAAACTATTCGTCCCGTTTTGTATGAAATCAACTTCTCCAGCAACTGGACCAGAGGGGGCATCTGTAAGGATACAGAATGTTTCTGTTTGAGCTGCAATTTTTTTCACACATAAGTGAGACCTTCAATGTGTATATTTTAAAGATATAAACAATTAACAATGAATAGAACTAAAAACATACACAAAATTATCTTAATTGAGGAAAGGCAACTTCAGCGGGCCAAGAAGCCAATGTGATACCTACAGGTATAACATTGTTCTCTCATGAGATGCATTCTCCCTCCAATGCAGCCAAACCTTGGCATTGCTGCAGCCATCAGAAGTAGGAAAACCCCACTTCCTTTTAATTAAAATGCATTTTTGCACTACAGCAAGGCAATCTGAGAGCAAGGCTATTGTTTTAGAAAAGACTCTTGACTCCGGAGTCCTCTTAAACAACTCCAAAGTCTTCTTGTTCAACTCTTAAAGTTCTTGCTCCCAAACAACTTGTTTTAGTGAGGAAGCATGCCGCTCTGATCCAGTTTGCTTTGCTTTGCTTTGGTAAGACATCTTCAGTCTTGTGGAAAAACAACAACTTCCAGGACAGGAGCCACAAAAAAAGTGTGGAGGCATCTGGTGGCCAGCAGGCTATGGCTTGCCCAACCCTTCTTCAGCCAAAGAGGAATGTGTATACAGAAACAAATGAGCTGGAATATATGCACATGGAAAATCTTTATGAATTTCATTTGGGAAGGAAAACTGAAATAAATTTCAAACTGATGGAACCAGAAGATAGGATGGAATTCAGAGAAAGGCCACAAAATTAAGACTGAGGCCAAAATCCAGTCAATGTTTTCCATACATGTAAAGTCAATCATACATTGGTTTTTCCAACCCAGCAAGGCTCTGGTGGTATATTAATTGCCTGAAGCCCAACTTTGCAACTAGATTTGACCATGAAAGGGAAGCTTATGGAGGCACAGAGAACACTTACATTATTGCCTTATATGCTTATTTAATGGATATAAGTCATCTCATCCTCAGGTATTTTGTGGATGATTTTGTTTTGGGATGGATTATCACTTAATAAACCAATAGCAAAAGAGCCCATTTTGCGGAGGACGCCAATTGATTCAGGGTGACAAAAAAAAGAACAATTTTGGAATGGATGGGGGAAAAAGCAGCAAGTGTGGGTCAATGTAAACAAGTAAAAACCAGTTGGAGTACATAGTCTACATACGTAGTGAGTGAGGGTATTTTAACTTGTTTATAAAACCAGACTGGGCAATTTTTTTTAAAAAAAAGCTTTCACAAAGCATCTCCTGGGATTTTTTCTGATCTGAGCGGAATCTGAACAAATTGAAGATGAGGGAAAGGGGAGGGCAAGATTCAGTAAGTATTTTAGTATTTTGTTTTTTGTGTGGTTTTTTAGCATTTTCTCCCATTATGAACGGTTGAAATTCCCCCTCCTGAAGCCTACTTATTGGCAGTAGTAGGTTTCATCTCAAGTCTGCTGAAATTTTTTATTCTTAGCTGTGTAGCTTAGGCCTCACCCACCACTGGACTTTTTCTGAAACTGAAGATCTCTTAAATCGAATTTGACTGCCAGAGGTTCCCTGTGCTTGGTTTAAAGTGAGGATGGTTTGTTTACAGAGCTTGCAGAATAGATAACCTTTGCTAACTCTCTGGCTTTGTTGATTAATTGACCTTAATTGCTGTACAATGTAACTCTGCATAAACTTAGAGCTGGAAGGGGCCCTCTGGAGTCTGGATCTTTGAGGCCAACGCCCGTCAAGGAAGCACAATGGGGAATTGAACTCCCAACCTCTGGTTCCACACCCAGATACCTAAACTACTGAACCCTCTAGCGGTTCAATTCTTTAATTTGGTTTCTTCTCCTTGTTAGCGGTTTGCCAAAGTATTAAAAAAAAAAAACAGGAAAGTTAATTTGTTTTTAAGTACTGATCTGTAAGCGGATGGTGAAAAATTATGTTGCCTCAAGGAGGCCTTGACAAACTCTGTCACATGCTGAATGTATGACTTACTGGATGATGAATGGTATATTTGTTTGCAGTCTTTAACCTTAGTGTTAAGGGCAGCCTGACTTGATGGTTCAGGAAACTGTTGCCCAGTTGTTAAGCAAAGTAATGTTATCTTTCACAGAGAACATTCAAGCCCAGACACAGATCAGTCTTATTTGTCAGCCACACCCATCTGAACCCTGTACAAGAAGCTTTCTTGATCTTGATATCCATTCTATGTGTGCGTAATACAATCTTTTTTCTATGCACATCAGGAATCAAAGCACACATTTCAACAATGTTTAATGCCGTATCTTGAGGGAAATGCAATATGGAAGATTCCCTTCTAAATATATCCCCCCAACTATTATCTGCTGCACATGGAGAAAAAGGAGAGAAAGTGGAATTGTGTTAGACAGACAAGTGATATAATTTATGATGCTATTCTTACAAGAAATTAGTCTCTCTCACAGAGAGAGAGAGAGAGAGAGAGAGAGAGAGACTGTCCATATCTCTATCACCATCATCACGGACAAAGGAAAAAAGATGAGGAAACTAACGTTGTTCCAATGTATGTTCATGTGAAAAATCACTCATCATAACCTGGATTACTGGAAGCAAGTTTGTAAGAATATGCAACATGTAGACAATATTGGATGGCTTGGGCAAATGAAAGTAGAATGAAAGAGGATTCCAGGATAACCTCCATACTGAAAAATAGCCCTCAGAGCCAAATTATAATCTTTGTAATCCTTGAGATATTTTCTAGCTTCATCCTTTTCTTCAGGAGGGCTAATTCATCACAGAGCAGAGCTTCAAAAGTAATTTTACTTTTTCAAAGTAATTTCTTATTGTATGTTGATGTAAACTCCCCCCCCCAAAGTAACTCTTTACCATAAAAAATACACTTTTTTTGGGTTACTCAGTACAGTAGCCGCCCCAAGTAGACATGGTCTAGAGTAAAAATTACACTTTTCTTTGGGTTACATTTTTCATTATTCATTAATTCTGGTTCATGACAAGAAACAAAATAATTAATTCCTTAATTAAAACATGCACACACAGAGAGAGAATTTATACCATTTAGCTTATGATAGCATACAGAATTTATAAGATTTGGGCCACTATATATTTTTGTTACATTTTAATTCCTTTTGGGGAAGAAATCTATAAAATGGCCTAAAGCTTGGGAAGGGGTCTTGAAGGAATTCCTTCAAAACATCCCCATAAGTATATTTGTTTTCCTTCAGACAACAAGAAAAAGTAATGAGTAAATGTTATACATTGCATGGAGAAAATAACAATATTACCTGTAATTACATCTTACTAAAGGAACTTCATTATGCCTCAATTATTCCCAAAGTTATGTTACAAGTTAGGTAAATGATTGATATATGAGATGATCAACTTCTATACAGAGGTCAAAACTTTTATTTGGAACTGCCTGTAACTTTAATTATTTTAACCCAAAATTTCTTAATTCCATGAATCCCACCAAGAAGCAAGACTTGCCTTGATCTTCCTTCCTCTCCCCAGCAGGGCCTGCCAGCTTGTGTTC